TGTGTGTGTGTGTGAGAGAGAGAGAGATGGAGGGAGAGAGAGAGAGACAGTGTGTGTGTGTGTGTGTGTGTGTGAGAGAGAGAGAGAGAGAGAGAGAGAGAGAGAGAAGCTTAGCAGAATCGGAGCCTCTCTGCTTGTCCCTTCTAGGTCTGTTGATGGCAAACCGATGGCCCGCATGGCATCGCCCATTCTCTTCCAGATTTCTGGCGCGCATCCATACGGGACAATCAGCTGGCCTTCGTGCCCTGCTGGGCAGTGCCAGAAACTGGAAGAGCTGATCTTCCCTTTTTTCCAGTTTGGGCATGCGTACCGGCCAGCTGATTGTCGTGCAAGCATGTGCACCAGTAACTGGAAAACTTAACTGGCCAGTGTGCCTATGCGCACTGGAAACTAGAAGTTCATTTCCCAGCACACGCGTGGGAAACCTGGGCAGCCCCTCTTGCAGGCTGCGGCCCAGAAAAAACCGTGCACATGTGCGCGCTCTCTTTTCGGCACTCGTTGCCGGGAAGGTTTGTCATCGCTGCCCTACAGAGATTGCAAAAGTGCTTCCGGAGTCAGCTGAGAAAGCATTTTGTGGCACTTGGTGGATAAACCGGCTGATAGTTGCCCAAACTCTGGGGCAAAGAAACCAGAATCCGCGCAAAGCTTACATGGGATTAAGATGGGAGTCTTTATGGAGGACACCAACTTTTTCGGATTTGTGTATTTCTCGTTAACGGTCTTCCTTTTGTGATTTAATTTTTTTGGGGGGGAAGATTCGTCGGGGAGGGAGGGACAGTGGCGAAGGCAAGGATTGCTGGCTTGCTCTTTCCAGCATCGGTCCACAATTTCGAGGAGGGGGGAAAATATATATATTTTCTTCTGTTTTAAAGACTAGCCTTTGTGCCTCTATCCACTGGATCTGTGTTTTTATTTTTAAAACAATAATGGTATCCTCGCGCACCTAACACGGGGGAATGTTTTCCTGGAGGCTTCCCTTGGGATCCCGCGGGCTCATTTCTTACACCCCAACTTTGTCAACTGGCCCCTGGTTTAAAAATTGGGGTATAAAGTGTGGGTGGGTACCAGAGGTGGGTTCCTACCAGTTCGCACCTATTCGGTAGAACCGGTTCGTCAAATCTACCGAACCGGTTAGAAGAG